CTTGTCTCCTTCACCAATTCATAGAAGCACTTTTTAAATTGCTTTCTGTCTAACACTGACACTCTGATGGATGAGAGAAACTTGGTTAGTTGCTGAAGCTGCTCAAAATACAACTCAATATTATAACACTTCTCCAGTCTGTATGCCAGGGATCAAACCTCCAAGCTTCTGATTAGTAGATGACCTGCTCTACCTCTCGAGTTACAGTCACCCCACAGTGTTGGAGAGAGATTCCAAAAGATCCGCCGTGGGCAGCATTTATTGGAAAGAAGACAGGAAAGCTGGGACAAAGAGCATGGGCAAGACACACAGTAAATGGCTGTAGGGCAGATTTGAATTTAGGCCTCTCTTAGGCAATAGCGTTACGGCACACGGGTCTCCTATACTGGTGTCTGAAAGAACTTGATTTTATTTGGAAGAGACCTCCAGCTGAACCAGGCTCAGGCTGGAGCATATAGACAACAAGCAGGACTAAAAGAAAAGTTAAGATCATGCGGTAGTGGCATATTAAACATATGGGGGGTGAAAAGATGGGAATGGAGACTATATGCTCAGTGCATCATGGGAAGCCTCAGCCCAGCACCTTGAGCCTGTAGCAAAAAAAATTATGACTATGATGTTAACTATAAGCTTTATCAATAAGGAACGTTTAAATCCTAACCTTCAACGTAGAAGAGGTGTCTGTCTCCTGAATCCAAACTGGGAGCTGGATCCACTGGGGAGGACCTGACAGCTAAAGGCTCTGACTCCCATGCTACTTTTGGAAACTCCATAAATCATAAGCCTGCTGAGAGTGCTACTGGGATGATATTAAACTGTAAGGTCTTTAAGATAAGATGGAGGCTTTGTATGTGAGGAAAAGGATTTAAAATTCAGTTCTGGTTTTAACAAGAAGCCAGTGATGAGAAGCCAGTATGGGGAAAAATATGATCTCTCTTTCTAGTGCCTGTCTGCACTCTCGTTGCGGCATTTTGTTTTGTTTTGTTTTTCACTGAAGGCTTTATGGGAAGTTTTTAGGAGAACCTGACAGTAAGGAATTACAATGACCCAGCCTAGAAGTAAGAGGTGCACGAACCTTTCACATCGTGTGGTTTTTGTCACTCTTTGTACATGTATTATTATTTTTTCCTTTCTTTCAGATGACGGATCTTTCCCCTATAAAACAAAGTATGAACAGCGGCACCGTGTTTCCTTAACAGAGCGATTCACAGAGGCCGACCTCAGAAGCCTCTCCGAACTGAATCCACCTGCTCTGATGCAGAACGGGAATGTGGGCACATCCGTAAAAGTGTTTCTCCAGCTCATCCAAGCCTGTCGCCTGCCTCCACGCCTCATTCGGAAACTGGGGCTCACTTTCCCCAAGACCAGTTCCAACCGTCGCTATGGGAACGTGCCCTTCCATTACCATGACACTTGCACACTTCCAGCCACAGAAGAGACTGTATTAACAGCTGCTGGACATGAAATATCAGGACCAGGTACTTTGCCTGGTTCATCCTTAGGATCGAGGCAGCTGGGTGATAACACAGAAACCACTGAGGCTGATGAAGCACAGAAGGAAGACGCAGAGGAAGAGGATGCGGAGTCGAATGCTGATGATGTAGGTTCAGTTCAGTCCTATCAACCAGCTGTCTGTCAGCTGTCTAGGTGCAGCCTAACTAAAATCATCATCATCCCTTTATTGTAGTTTGCTAATTTCTTCATGTGATTGATTGTAGGATGATGACTGCTGTGAGGAGTGGGAACGCCACGAGGCTTTGCATGACGATGTAACAAGCCAGGAGCGAACCAAAGAGAGACTGTTTGAAGAAGAGATTGAGCTGAAGTGGGAAAAAGGAGGCTCAGGTCTGGTGTTCTACACTGATGCTCAGTACTGGCAAGAGGAAGAAGGAGGTAGGCACCAAAAACACTAATGCACTTTGAAGAAAAAGGCTTGCATACTATACTGTGTTAATAAACGAGCAATGGGGTGTGCAGGTTATTAAGCAAACTTTAGGTAAATAGGTGTGGAAAGGCAAACTGAAAGTGTCTGTATGTGTTAATTAGTATAAGAAATCAATTCAGTGGAGATGCTGACAAATAAATTCTGCTCTACAATAACATACATTAAAAGATAATTGCAAATATACTCACACTGGCCGCTTTGTTAGATACACCTCTTCAGTAGCTTGCTAATTCAAAAATTCGATCAGCCAATCACATGCCAGCAACTGAATGAGTTTAGGCATGCGAACGTGGTGAGGACGATCTGCTGAAGCTTAAACCAAGCATCAGAATAGGGAAGAAAACTGGTTTAAATAACTTGAAACATAGTTGTTGCTGTCAGACAGTTTGGTCTGAGTATTTCAGAAACTACTGATCTTCCGGCGTTTTTCGCACACAAGCATCTGTCGGGATTTACCGAAAACGGTCCAAAAACAAGCAAATATAAAGTGAGCAGCAAATTGTGGGTGAAAATGCCTCGTTTGGTGTCAGAGGAGAACAGCCAGACTTCTTTATGAGTGAAAGCAACAGTAGCTCAAATAATCACTCGTTAAAAAAAAAAAGGGGGGGGGGGGGGGCAGAACAGCATATCTGAATATGTTAAACCTTGAAGCACATGGGCTACAGCAGCAGATGTCTGCTAAGAACAGGAAACTGATGTTCACAAAAGTTCAACAACTCCGGACAAAAGAAGACTGGAAAAGAACGTTGGAAACACTGGAACATCAGAATTAGGAGTAACCAACATGGAGGCATGGATTCATCCTGCCTTGTGTCAACTGCTGGGGTGTGGAATATTTTCTTAGCACACTTTGGGGTTCTTAGTACCAACTGACCATCATTTAAATGTCGCAATCTACTTTTGTGTTGCTACTCGCCATGAACATCCATCTTTATGACAACAGTGTACCCATTTCCAACAGGATAACAAGCCACGTGAAAACACTGAGATCATCATAAACTGGTTTCTTGAACATGACGATGAGTTCACTGTTCTCAAATGGCACAGTCACCAGATCTCAATTCAATAGAGGGATGTGGTGTAACCAGAGATTTACATCATGAACAAATAGCTAACAAAACAACAGCGACTGTGTGATTACATTCATGTGTGTTTCTCTCGTTTTTCAGACTTTGATGAAGAAACAGCCGATGACTGGGATGTTGACATGAGTGTTTACTATGATAAAGGTAAAAATTTTTACCCTAATTAACTAAACTGTGCTCTATTAATGCAGAGTCAGATTTCCTATAACCAAGTCCTTTTACAGATGGAGGTGACATGGATGCTCGAGATTACGTCACAATGCGGTATGAAAAGAGGCTGAGGGAGGGTCATGAAGATGGATCGGGGCACAATCAGTCTATTGGCCGCTTTGAGAGGTTCACTAAGGTGAGGAGGTTGCCATCACATATAACTTAATCTAATCTTTCCTCTTGTTACACATCAGATAACTGCACATATATTTTTTCTCCGATTAGGGCTTTGGGCGTCGTGTGATGGAGAAACACGGCTGGAGGGAAGGTGAAGGCCTAGGAAACAGCCAGATTGGAATTTCTGAAGCACTTGAAAATGAGGGGCAACATCCCAACTGTAAAAGAGGCTTTGGGTGAGCATGAGCACAATCAACGGAAGATTTTGATCGACTTTGCTCTCCAGCTGACGGCAGGTCGCTTGTTCCAGGCTCAGGTGTCAATCAATACTGCTATTCTTCACTCTCATTGGTAGTTGTTTTGATCCTATGGAGGAAGTTAAAAGAAGTTAATTTTACATCCAACCCACTTCCCAACGCCAGCAGTTATTCCGCCCTTAGTCACTTGAAATTGCAGGATGTCACTCACTTTGCTTCCAGTGTGGACGCAGCTTAACAGCTAATATAATTTTAAGCTTTGGTATGTGAGGTAGGTGATGCTGATGTTGTGTTGTTTTTTTCCTTTTCTTTTTTGCAGGTATCATGGAGAGAAATTGGTCTTACATCCTATAAAAAAGGCCAGAACAGATTATCATATAACTACAGTGTATGATAAACCCAAAGACATAGACAGAGGCGATACCTTGCTGAGACGGCAGCCAAACACAAGTATGAAGTACAGAGGGTGGCAACCAGGTGGCAGCATTGGCCCACAAAGATCACAAAGATGACTTTAATAAAATTTAATTAAAACCATTTTAAAACCAGGGAACTCTTTTTTTTTTTTTTTTTAAACACACACATACTTATCTCTCTCTCTCTCTCTCTCTCTCTCTCTCTCTCTCTCTCTCTCT